TATCATTACCTATGATCAAGTGGTTGCGTCTTCTTCTTCGGAGCTTGTTTCTTCAAGACACCAGTGTATCGGTGTGCACCTATTCCTTTATGAACATACGCCTATCTTTCGCTGCCTGTACAATCTAAAATGATAATACCTGCGGTTGGTGGATACATATTTTCCTTTTCTTGTGGCATCGAAGTAGATTTAGTCTGTATCGTGTTTAGTACAAAGAACCAGAAAATTGTAGCTCATTAAGGGTGACTGGATTGCACAAATCTTTCCAAATTTCGAACGAACTCCGACAAAAACGTCCTGTGTAAACCAAGAGTACAGAAAAAAGCCGCGGATGAGTTTAGCGACAGCGTACAGGCTAGAAAGATTTCAAGTTGGACGCGCTGACAGGCACAGTACGCCTTGAGCGACAGTGGGCGAAAATATATTTTATTTCTCAACAGTTGGGTTAAAAGATGAGAATGATGTGCACACTAAGGTGAGTACTAATCACACGAGGTGCAAAGGCAAACAGAGTGGACGTTCAGAAAGCAGCTAAACACATAACAGAAGTAAATGAAAATGGAAAGCGGATACATTTAACTAAAATGCAACAGACATGCAGCAGGGTTTCTTAGCCACGATGTTGGGAGGTTTTCTTTTAGGTGGATCACACAGGTGGCTAGAGAATTTTAAAATCAAACGTAAGTAGCAGTACATGCTTTCAATGTGAGAACTACTTTCTAGACAACACCCAAAAGCCGACTATATCCGTCAAATAAGCAGGCTGGAGGCAAGCAAAAAAATTTATTATTCATACATACTTTACAAAAATAAAAACTAAATAAAATAATTAGTACAGAGCGGAGGTCCACATGCGCTTGGTTATATCATAGAGACCGAGGAAAATAGCTCCGCCAATGGACACCTGCCCGACTCTTGGAGCGACGCCAGCAAAAAGTCTTAAAGAGAAAAACAAAAGAGGCTTGTTTAAAATCCAATTTCAGTATTAATTACCGACTAATTCGAGTTGGAGCAGTTAGACTCACCCGCGAACTCCACGCTCCAAATAAATGTGCCGGAAGGCGGTAATAACATTTCCACTGGCCAGGGGGCTCCCCTTCTGAAGGCGAATTGAAACAAAAAACGGGTGTTGGGACCAGGTAAAGTGATTAGCATTATCAGAGGGAGGCAGGTGAAATAGGCCTGGGGAAGTTACGCCGGACAAATTTGTGGGTAAGGGCAAACAGAAGCTGACAAGAAGTTAGCACAGGATAGAAAGAACTAATAAACGAAGCGATTTACGACGGATGTTCGGGAGAGATTAGAGTAGAATGAAGGGCAACGGAAACCACCGATCAAGTAAAGTTAGAAAGTCATGCATTCATCTCAGGTCCTTACTTAGTTACTGAAGGAAATTAAATGCCCACGATGTTTAAGCAGGTAGAATAGTGATGTGTAATACTAGCTATGAAAACGGTGGATTTAAGCCACAACCCTTGCTATTAAAAATCGTCGTCTTAGTTAAGCCCTTTTTCTCATAAATTGGCAAAATCTCCAGGCTAGGTGAAATTTCAACTCGCCTCAGTGCCAGCGTTCAGTCAAAGGTCTTTTACTCCTTCCTCATTAGCTTACATTACTCGCGGGTCAATGACTTTCTTTCAAGGGTCATGTTCCAGACAATTTATACCTTCATGACTAGCAATGGACGATAATTCAGATATGTTTATTGCTGATACAAGGAAAGTGCGAGGCCGGAAAATTAATAAATAAATAGGAAATAGCTGCGGTCGCTGGGACAAGAACGTTATTCGCCCTACGTATCGGATCCCTGTCCGGACACATCATAAGATGCGGGTAATTCGTACACCGGGGGTTGCTGCAAATGACCCAGGTCGTATTCTGGGAACGAACCTGCAGCTCAGAGTCATAAGGCTGCAACTTGGTCCCAAAAATGCGACGCATTTTGCGCGGTGCGGAACCAAAATAGAGGTACATAAGGGGATTGACCTCAGAACCAATCATGCGACCTTCACCTAGAGACAACACTGCAAAACAAGTTCATGCACTTTGGATAGGCAGACGCGACTCGGGTGCAACAAAATTTGACACCATAAAATCAACACTTCAGGTAACACCACAACATGGCACGTTAATAAGTGAACCGTTTGCAATATAGAGAAAACAAAACTAGAAATTGCTCGCTGTGGAATGGAGTTGGCGTTAATTCTCGCATATTGCAAGGGACGTCAATTGAAAATTCGATAGGACGCAGTAACTTGTAATTTCTTTCTGCTATTGGGCCACCTGGATTCAGACGAGCGGATTCA